CACTTTCACTTCACTTCACTTTAATTCACTTTCACCTCACTTTAATACACTTTAGGTTCACTTCACTTTTACTTTACTTCAATTCACTTCAATTCACTTTAATTCACTTTCACTTCATCCACTTTCACCTCACTTTAATTCACTTTAGGTTCACTTCACTTTTACTTCACTTCACTTCACTTTCACTTCACCCAATTTCACCTCACTTTCACTTCACTTCAATTCACTTTAATTCACTTTCACCTCACTTTAATTCACTTTAGGTTCACTTCACTTTTACTTTACTTCAATTCACTTCAATTCACTTTAATTCACTTTCACTTCATCCACTTTCACCTCACTTTAATTCACTTTAGGTTCACTTCACTTTTACTTTACTTCAATTCACTTTCACTTCACTTTGGGTTCACTTCACTTTCTCTTCATTTTAGACCTCGTAAAAAAAGTAAATTTAAAGAAAAGTTTAAAAAATTTAAATAGAAGTGAAGTGAAAGAAAAATGAAAGAAAGGGGAATGAGAAGAAAGTGAAGTGAGATAAAAGTAAAGCGATGTGAAAATGAAGTGATAGTGGTGTTAAAGTGGGTTGACGTGAATATAAAGTGATCCGAATGTGAAGTGAAGTAAAAGTGAGGTGAAATGAATGTGAAGAAATTTGATGTTTTAATCAAAAACAATAGTTGTTTTAAATAAATAAATATATTTTCGAGTTTATAACATAACGTTTTTCATCTCTATTTGCTCGTAAAGAATAAGTATAACAATAGTTTCATACTATACCCCCGATGAATGTGTAGAACATACTAGCACGTATGTACATTGTATGAGTATTTACGACACAATTTAGTGCGCACGCAGAGGGTGCTTGATTTTATCTAACAAACACGTGAGAAGTTTTCTATATTTATACATATTTATATGTTTTATTTAGATGAAATGATATAGAGAAATAAATCTATAGTTCTTTTCGTTTTTGAATTTATAATATATATTATCAGGAATAGAGGGGAAGGTGTATATATATATATATATATTCATAATTCAGACGGCAAGCTCTGGAAAATTGAGAAGGAGAAGATTAGTCGCTTTTCATATCATACACCCGGGGAAAATTGCTTGCCTTAACCATTTCAGCCAGAACAACAGCGTCTTTTACAAAATTATAATTGGATTATACTGCGGATTTATGCAAATTAAAGTTCTGTCAAAATTAAAACATATTGCTAGATTTTTACTACCTTGCAGTAAATTATATTTTAATCAAAAAAAAAAAGAAAAACAGTTTTGTTCAATTAAGGAAAAATGTTTTGTTACACGTTAAATACCATAGATATTATATATAAATATATACTCAAAACGAAATTATTTTATAATAAAACTGTTTGATTAATTGAACTAAATTATTTTTTTTACTATTTGGTGGTTATATATAATTAATAGTAATTAATTATAATTAGTTAAAAAAATAGAAGTGAAGAGATTAATCGATAATAATTATAAACACTATTTGCAAATTGTATTTCCTTTTTCTCCCCACGGAGAAATACACATAAAGCATTATACATTTGTAAATCAGTGTGTCAATTTTGTATATATATATATATATATTTCTCTCATTGACTTTCATTAACTTTCATTAAAATGCAAATTCAATTTTAATCCTCGACCGGAAGGTGATACATGTGGACAAATTCGAAAATTTAATTAAGACCCGACTCATTTATACTTCATTAATATTATTTCAAAGCTTTAAATTTTCAAGTTACGATTTCATAAATTGTATTATTTTTTTTTAAATAATAATTAAAATAATTTGTCTACAAAATATGATTGGAGGAAATTTCCCCTTACAAAACTATATATAAATAAGAAATTTTCTTTTATATATAGAAAAAAAAAAAAGTGTAGAGTCATTTGTCTGTCTCCTATCGTCTGTGAACGCATGAATGACAGTTTCTCTCACACGCCATTAAATCGAGCATATAATACATTTTCATCTTCATTTGCCTACCAAATTTTCTAAATTCTTTTTAGCAAAACAGACACACACGCGATTTTATTAATACTGAATAATATATATATATGTATGTCTATTTAATATATATTTACTTTATATGTAGATAAAAATATTGTTGTATATTATAAACCGAGAGTCTAAAATATTATTATAATGGATGAAAATTATGGAACATTAAAGCCCCTTCAGCTATAAAAATGTGAGATATTTTATTATTTATATGTATTACACGTCGTCGTCGTCATTGGATTTTATAAAATAGAGGATATAAATCAAAAGTGCATTTATATTTGAATGATGTATATATAAATTTTTTTTTTCCCCCTTTTTTGTTGCTAAGTACTTTTACTATACATATAGTGAAGGAAGAAATGTTTTTACACTAGGGAAAATCTTTAAAAGTTCTTTTTAAAGATAATATACATTTTCTTTCTTTTCTTCTTTTCGTTTCTTTTTATCAGGGGTTGTCTTGTATTATTCATATATTTTTATTTCTAATCTTCGAATATCGTTTCATTTTTTTTAATGCCATATATACACTGAGAAAAATGTTTAGTCAGAGCAACCAAAATTAGGTTGGGTCAACAAAAAAAATTTTGTTGGTATTTAAGCAACCAAACTATTTGTTTGAGTCAACCAAAAAATTAGGTTGAGTGTTTTTTGTTGGCATAACAAAAATGTTTGGTTGTCGCAACCAAATAATATAATAATAATAATAATAATAATAATAATAATAGTAATAATTTGTTAGGACAACTCTCTAAATCTGAATTAGTAAAAATGTTTACTAATTGAAATTAGTGACTCACTTTTTGCTTTAGAATTAGTTAAATTTTACTAATTGTTAGTAAAAGTTACTAATAATTAGTAAAATTTTACTAATTCAAAAGCAAAAAGTGAGTCACTAATTCAAATTAGTAAACATTTTTACTAATTCAGATTTAGAGAGAACAAACGATCATTTGGTTTCTTAGACCAAACTATTTTGTTGTGTTAACCAAATTATTTTATTGTCGTAACTAAATTTTGGTTGGAATTTAAAAATGTTCAACCAAATAATTTTCTTGACCTAACCAAATGTTTGGTTGAGATAACCCTACGTCTTTGTTTCAGCCAACCAAAATTTGGTTACATGAACCAAAATTGTCTAACAAAACAATTTTGTTGCCAACACTAAATTTTTTTTTCTCAGTTTATATACAAAGATATAAAACTTTTTAATAACATTTTTTTTTTTTGTTAAAAATAATAAAAAAAAAAAATTCTTTTTTCTATAATTGAATAAAATTTTCAATTTATTTTCTATAGAGAAAAATGAATTTTTCAAACTTGATAATTTTCATGGAAATATTCATTATAGAAATTTATACGCTTTATGGAAACTTGAAAAGGATGATGTGAAGGATATCGTGCATGATGCGAAAGGACTGAGCTTAAAAGGACGAGAAAAATATCAAGTTTGTTGAGAGAAAGAGGGTTCTCTCTCTCTCTTTCATTTTTTTTTTTTTTTTGCGAAAAGAAAAACAAATTTTTATATCGAATAGCAAATATTTTTCAAAGCTTTCAACATTATCCGCGGAACAATTTTTCATAATCTCTTCTTCAATTTCCATATATATATATAGAATCGTTTTCGCGTTTTTTCTTTTCTTTTGCTCTTTTTATGTTTATATATATGTTATTTTATATGACAATGTAATTTTTCATTTATATATTGCATATCACTCTTATATTTTGAGTAAATATATATATATATATATGCTATATCATTCTTAGAATATCTTTGGTCGTTTACAAAACCAAATGTTCGTAAAATAGTTGCCGAATATATCGACCCTAGGAAATCTCCATTTAGATAGAGAAACTATAAAGCAGTCTGATTTGAATAAGATTTCCCTTTCAGAATAGTAGAATTATTTGAATTTTATTATAATATAAATTAGGGTTACCCTTTCACCTATTTCATTATTGGAAAATTGATTAAATATGAATATTTATTTTTTTTTTCGAAAAAAAAAGGAAATGAAGATAAATGTTTCATTTAGATTTTTATCATTCGACATATTTAGGGTGTATTTGTTTGAGCTTCAAAAATTGTATTCTATGTTGAATTTCATCATTATATCAGAATATATTAAAAGATATCAGTTTATCAAATTATCGCTGAGATAATATAGTAATTGAATATTATATTAAGTTGAAACAAATGTTTCTTTTTCCTTTTCATTTTATACTGCATTTTATTGTTAGAAAATCTTTTTAATAGTCAGTTTTTAAAAGAATTACTTTTATTCATGGAAAAAAAATGTAACGAAATTCCTTTTATTTTGTTTTTAAAATAAAATTAATTATGACTTAAAAATAATTGAAATTCAGTATTGAAGTAAATTTTTTTGCCGGTTTTCTTTTTATTAAAAATGTTAAACTTTTTTTTTTCATTGTTTTTATTTCTACAAAATTCTTGAAATACACATATATATATATATAAACATGATTCGAATGCTTTAAAAAGCAGATACAAATTTAATTTTAAAATTTGTGGCTGTGATTTATAAATGTTTGATATTTGTGCAACCTTTTGATTTTACGCTTCCTCACGCACACAATTTTTCATGAAAAAAATATGTCACGAATGAATGAAAGGAATTTCGTTTTATTGAAAAATGTATCAAACTTTAATAAGGTTATTTCATGTGGAAAAAGTTGATAAATTTTTTATATAAACATTTCTCTTTTCATTAATTAAAAAAAAATTGTTTATTCAAATATTTATATGATCTTCTATATTGATTTGAGAGGATATATATACTATATATTCAAGTATAACTTCTTCGAAAATTAGAATGAAACATTAATTCTTTGAAAATTTTCTTATTGTTTTTCATTTGAATCAAATAATTTTCAAATAAATAATTTTTATTTGAATCAAATAAATTTTTCAAAAAAAAAAAATTTTTCAAAAAAGAAGATTAAAAAAAAAACTCACCAATTTTGATTCTTATTTTATTATTTCAATAAGCCATCAGATCTTCAATGCGATTCGTAAATATAGAAAGTTTTCTTCTGGATTTTGCAGTATTTGCGCAGATGGACTTTAGCTGTATAATTTAATAAAAGATCAAGGGGGGTAATATGAGAGAATAGGAAACTAGTAAATTAGCAACTGGAATTTCAAGCTTTCACAAATATTCCTTTTCTCTCTTCTTTGAATTGTTCATAGTTAAAAACTTTTCACTAAGCACTTTCAAGTTCCGTGGAATTTCCTGGTATCTTTTTTCTTTCTCTCTCTCACTTTTTAGATTTTCTCGAGAAGATTAATTCACTTTCTGCACAAGTAGTGAGCAATATATATATTTTTTTTCAGTATCCAAACAATTGTAAGCACTTTTCAAATCTTGAATAATTTTTTTCTTCCATATTTTTTTTTTTTTTTTCTCAATGGCAAAAAAATCGTGTCCCGTGTCACTGTTAGTTCTTATTATTAGTCACTTTTATCTCCCTCATGGGAAAAGTCAAACACCAAGAAATAAAAATGATCGATAGATTCATATATCTCAGCATCTGAAAATTTGTGAAAAAAAACTTAACGACCTCTTTTTTTCACAAAAACGAAATGTGAAAAAAAGAAATTCCAATTTTGTAATTATAAAATTTAATAATTTTATTATTACTACATTTATTATTATTATTATTATAAATTTTTGTTTTTTATTATTATTATTATTATTATTATTATTATTATTATAAATTTTTGTTTTTTATTATTATTATTATTATTATTATAAATTTTTGTTTATTATTATTATTTTTTTATTCTTATTATATTGTAATTATTATTTTTATTTTATTCTATTTGTGAGGAAATTTAAATTTAAAGTTTCAATTTTTTATCGATTGAAAAATAAAATGGAAATAATTAAAGGAATTTGAAAAAGTAATCGGAGAATTTGAATCTCTTTAGAGGATAAAAATAATTAAAATACACTTTATCCTCTTATATATAGACTTCCGGTTTCACTTTGATTTTTTTAATTTGACAAACGAAGAATAACTTACATCTTTTGTAAATGGATGCTTGATCGTATTACTTTAATATATAAATGAGGATGAGATATAATTTAAATTACTAGTTAATTATTTTTTTATTTTGTTTTGTTTTTTTAATCGTTATCGTATTTATTTTTTTTATTAATAATTTTTTTTCACAATTATACTCATTAACGGTTATTATATCAATGGAATTTATTTATATTTATTAAAATTTGTAATTTTATTTTCTTAATTAATATAAATTAAATAAACAAAAAAAATTAAAACTTCTTTGAATAAAAATAATTGTCTTTATAATTTAATTTTTTCATATTTAAATAATTTATTAAATAGAAAACTATATCAAATCCCTTTGATGAGTTAATAATATTTTATTGACTCGGAAAAATGGAAAATTTCAGAGTTTTATTAAAAATTTTACCGAGCGATAAATACATTTTATCAATAAATGAATTAAAATGTCAAATACGCGCTATTCTGTTATAATTTATTGTAACAATTTTTTTTATTTTTTCAAACCAAATTTTTCTTTTTTTTGGTTAATTATTATTATTTTTTTTTATTGATGTTTTTATTTTATTTAAAATTTACATCGAAAAAAAAAGAATGAAAAATATTTAACAATTTTACGATATAGAATAAAAATTCTTTTTTGTGTAAAAAGAATCTATCAGATGATTTTATGACTTCATATATATGTATATAAACTCGAGGAATTATTTTAATGGGAAGAAATGAATATGTGCAGTCGGAATAATAAGTGGCTGTAAGAATTTAAGCAAACCCTTTAAATTCTCTCATAAATTAGTGGTGAAAAATAATGAGATCACGTATAACGAGGAAAATAGTCGTAAAAGACATTGTTATTTTTTTAGAAAAATATTTGTTTTATTTATTAATTTATTTGTTTACAAAATAGATAAAAGTAGTAATATATTAATTAATAAATTATATATATCTAATAACAAATTATTTTTTTTTTACTATAAAAATTTGAATTTTTGGATATTTAAAAATATTGAAAAATATTTCTAAATTAAAAAATGTTTAATAAAATATTTTTTTAATTACGAATATAAATTTATTCTAAAATTTTTCCATATATAGGGGTCCTATGAGTTTAAATAGAGCACAAAACTTGTGCATATCATCTCAATTAATTTAAAATTTAAACTTGACTAATTTGAAATTTCGGCTGCAACTAATTTCAAGTTTCTCTTCCTTAATTCCTCTTCAGTTTGTATATATGAAATTTACAAAGTTCTCTCTAAGATTACATTACAAAGTTCATATATACAGGAACGATTAATTAAATAATTATAAAAAATAATATATTATATAGAAATAATTTTTCATTTAAAGAAAAAAAAATTTATTTGATTCAAATAATTACTTGACTATTATCAAATAAATGCACGCAAAAAAATCTTCACCTAAATCAGCGATATGTTTCACTAAAACAGCGAAAATTTTCACTATTCTAGAAAAATATATCGCTATTCCAAAGAAACTTATCGCTGTTCCAGGTGAAGATTTTTTTGCGTGTGTTATTTATTAAATAATAATGAGTCAATTTGAGTCAATTAAATGGTATTTGTTTGAAATAAATTATTGCTCCAAATTTAAATACAGTTTAGTTAATACAATTATTTGATTTCAAAAATTATTTGCTTTAAGTAAATATTTATTTGATAATTGTTAATTGAATTAAATAATTTTTTTTTCATGTATTCTTTATAATATAGAATTTAATAAAAATTAAAAATTCTGATTTTTTTTATTTATAAAATAATTTAAAAAAAATTTTAATAAAAGGGAAATATTTAAAAATATCATGTTTTTGTAACGCGTATATTTTGTATGAAAAAAATGGGGTGGGGGCATAAGTTTATAAGATAAGTGGACTTGGAAAGATGGTTTATATATTGAAGGGCACTTTTTTTTATAACACAATGATCGTTAATGGTTCAAAGTTGCTCCTAAAGTGTATATATATATATATATAGATAGATAGAACATTGTGACAAAAAGCGATAATGTGAGATTAAGTCGAGACACAAAAGTGACGCAATTTTGCAGTACTTATTTCTTAAAACTTACTATATAGGATTGAGAAAGAATGTGGTATGAAAAAAGTTTAAAGGTGATGAACACATAAAAAAATAAGAGGCGCGTATAGAATCCACAAGGAAACCTCACAGTCCATTAGCTCCCCCTTTTCTCCCCAGTCATTACAGTATCAAAAAAATACAGTTTATATTCATTCGATATTATTATATAATAATAATAATAATAATAATAATAGTAATAATAATAATAATAATAATAATAATAATAATAATATTAATAATTGTTTAATAATAATAATTTGTTTTTGCGAAAAAATATTTTTAAAAAATTTATCTGATTCAAATAATTGGTTACTTGTTTATTATTAAATAAATATTTACTTGAACCAAATAATTTTTATTTTTATATTAAATAAATATTTACTTGAGCCAAATAATTTTTATTTTTATATTAAATAAATTGTATTTGATCCAAATATATGCGTGCGTATTTGAAACAAATACCCATTTGAAATAATAATTATTCAATAAAAATAAATATTTATTTAATAACAGTCAAGTATAACCAATTATTTGAATCAAATATACTTTTTTTTCAGTGCACAATACAATATTTAAAAATTTTAAATTCTTTTTCGCTTTTCGTGGAAAATTTACACTTGAACTGCGATAAGATTTTGTTAGGTGTCGAAGAAAAATGGTATATGAAGAATGACAAAAGTTTACGAAAAAAAAAAAAAAAAAAAACTTCATAAAAGTCTTGAGAACCTCAATGTTTGATAAAATAGGTTTAAGGTGGACTTGTGGTATTTTTTATTAAAATTTGTCCTTTATTCGCTGAAAGAATTTTAAATTCGCGAAAAACTTTTATTCTATAGCTGAATTTTCGACACGGAAATGACGATTTTCTTTTTATTTTCTTTATTATTGAATATTATTTAGTATTTTATTAAATAAATACAATTTTTTTTTTTGAAATTTACTCATTTTTTGTATTGATGGAATAATAAGAGAGAAAAAAAAATGTAGAGAAAAATATACTTGATTTTTTATTGACGATTTAGTAAATAATTTAGGCCAAGTGAAAATTTTGTGACAATGCCAAGTTCTTGTCTTATTCCATCAACAATTTCCAGGTACATATAATCTTGATTCTCATTTTAAATTTGCAACAGTTGTTTGAAACACAAAGGCACAAATAATTTTGTTGGGAGAAATTGACGATAATTTGAAAATTTTTATATTTTCTAAATCAAAAAAGATTTTATCACTTTAGTCACTGAAATTTTTGCTATAAATTATAATTATTTTTAATAAATTAGTAAACGAAAACAATTTCACTAATTTATTGAATAAAATTGTAAAATGTTAAAATCGATATTATTGAGAATCTTAAGATTAAAGAAATTTGCAATAAAAAAAAAGTAAATTTCACAAATATATTTTGTCACGAATCTTTTAAACATTGCCAAATAGTTGCACCGACGCTTTCTGACACTTGAACAGTGACGTCACTCTGTGGTGTGACATATTTTGTCAATCTATTACACCATTGAATTCAAATTATTTTGAAACTTTGCATAAACTTTGATATATTGTCAAAAAATATTTTTTTTAAATTTGAATATTTATATTGAGTTTTTTTTAATTCTTGTGTATTTTTGTAATTTACGTATTTTTAAAATGTAGGTTAACATTCTTTCGTTACATAATTATAGTCATTATTATTAACATTCACTTTATAAATTTTATTTTTTTTTAGTTTTCATGTTTTTCTTGCTTTAAATACTAATTGTGTTTGCTTTAGTAATAATTTTATTTATTTTTAAAATTATTTATTAGTATTTTTTTTGTTCTAAAATTTATTTATTATTATTATTTGTTTTCGAATTAGAAATAATTCATTTTTTTTTTTTATTCAAAACAATTAAATCATTCACTATATGGCAGCGATTTATTTTTCGATAAAAATAAAAATATTTAGCCGCACTTTTATATAGTAAATATTTTTTGTTCCAAGTGCGAATTTTCCTTGCGTGTGACTAACGATTTATACTGTTTTTTTTCTCTTTTTTTTAAATCACAATTTATAATTATGTAATCATTATTGTATGCACGTGAAAATATTTATTCATTTATGCAAATAATTTTAGAAGAGTATGAAAGAAAGTTTAAAAAAAAAAATTTTTTTGTACACTCACTATTGAAATTTTTTAAAATTACAACACTATTAATCACTTGAATGAAAATTTTTTTTGCAACACTTTGTAGTCATTTTTAAAGGATTTTTTTTTCCTCTTATTATAATATTAGATTTTTTAATTTTGGGCGGGAAAATTTTTTAGGTAGGAACTCATATTCAAAGCGCTCGTCGCGCGAAGCGCACTGAGTGTATCGAAACGAATAGGACGAGAGTTAGGCAGCAGGGTGTCAGAAATGACCCTGGCAGTGAGAGTCGCCTGCGCATTGACATTTTCAGTTTTCAAAGCAAAAGACTCCCTTGCTCTTTTTTCTTCTTCACATATAATTTGATACTTTCCATGAAATGTACTTGGATTAATGGACATATATATACTATTCTTTTCCATTCCCTTATTATTTATTATATGTTTCTAATCTCCCTTTTCAAATTCAATATTTATTTTGTTACATCAACAAAATAAAAAGAATTTTAGTTTATTGTCAATTTGTCATTTTGGAAAATTTTCATCACCTCCAAATTTCTGCGATGCATGAATATTTATAAGTTCTAAAAAACAAGTGTTAAAATTTTTTATTTCATTGAATTTTATTAGATTTAATTTTCATTGAGACGAATTTTTGTATTTTTCATCAGAAAATTTTATTAAACCGATTTTCTGTATTACAGAATTTTTATAATATATTTAATTCACAGAATTTTCATTTGTCTGAAATAATTGCAAATGACCGAATAAATAGATTTCGGCGCTTTTAAAAATTAATCAATCACAATTTTATGAATTATTTTTTAATTGGATGATGATTTTAAAAAATTGCGCCCAATTCTTTTTGTTGATTGGTTTGTTCGGACAAATGTAAATTCTATTTAGAAATTCTGTTAAATGATTTTTTGTTTAAGTAAAAAATTCTGCAGTATGAAAAATCGGTTATATGGAAATATTTATTTCATAAAATTTTTCTTGAATCGAGTTTTTGTGTTACAGAAAATTTGAATTTTACGTTCTTTAGAATATTTTTTCAATGTGAAAAAATGTCCCTTTGTTTACATATATATATATATATATATATATATATTTCGATGTGTTTATAAATTTCATATATATAGAAATTCCATTTTGCATTATTGTAAATGTTTTTTTTTTTTTTTTTTTTTTTTTTTTGGGTTTCCGCTCTTATTATTTCAATTTGAAATTTTCACCATTTTTCTCTTCAATATTCGAAAGTGCTTTTGATTTAGGTGAAATATACTTTTTCAAGGTGCATTATTCGCATTTCATTTTGAAAATCCCTTAGAGAAATTCACGTCTTTGTCAATTTTTAGCATTCCAATGCATTTTCAAATTTCACGTGAGGTAAATAGATCGAAGATTGAGGATATAAAAAAAAATATGAAAGAAATAGAAATATTAAATTTGTCTCAAAAAAATAAGAGATTATACGCAATAGAAAATATATATATATTATAAAATTGACATGTTCAATTTATCATAACTATATTTTATAAAATATAAAGATTGGAAAAAAATACAAATTAGTTTTTTTATACGACTTCCTGTTTTCTTTAGTTATTTTCTTGAAGATATAGGTTTTTTTTTTTAAATATTATGCAAGATATTTTTTTTATCTATTGCTATTTGACCCTTCGTGCATTTTTCATATACATATATGGTTATAAAATTAAATACATATATATATATATATTTTTTTTTCTCAAATGTTGCAGTAAAAAAATTAAAAATTATTAGATTTGCCTTTAGTTAATTAATGTTTTTTATATGAGGTTAATAAATCCCTAAAATATTAGCTCAATTTAAAAAAAAAAGAAAAATTGAGGTTAATGTTTGGTCCAGTTGAGCTTAAGATATTAAAAAGTTAATTAATTTTTAGTATAGATTTCTTTTCATCTTGTATAATAAAAATTTGCTATTTTGGAAGAATTCTAAAAGTACATATATATATAGGAAAAAATCATGATCCACTTTATGCCAAAAACACCTCCATATATCTTCGAAAATGAATACGGCCACTCGAGTAAAGCACATGTCATTGAAAGCTTCATTCAAAGACATCAATCTATATATTGAATGTGCTTGATTTCATTCCATTGCCAGTGGTAGTAATAATAAGCCCAATAATCGTAAATAAATTTTGAAAATTTTACTATATTTCATAGGGTAAAATCAACTAATCTTCTCGCTTGAGATTTTTTTTTTATAAATTACAATTTTGGTAAATAATTGATACTTTTTTTTTTTAAACGAAAGATTCTGTAAAAATATCTTAATTCTGAAGGAAAAAATACAGAAAATTAAAAGGCATTAAAATATGTTGTAACGCTTATTATTTTAAATCCAATTTTGCTTATTTTAATCCATTTTGGTATTAAAATAAGTAAAATTGGATTAAAATAATAAGCGTTGCAGCTTATTTTAATGCCTTATAATTTTCTGTGAAATTAAGTACAGATTATAAGCAATTTTTGTTATTAATTTCGGTTATTTTTACTCTCTAAATCTGAATTAGTAAAAATATTTACTAAATTTAAATTAGTACTCACTTTTTGCTTTAGAATTAGTTAAATTTTACTAATTGTTAGCACTGTAAAAAGAAGGTACTAAAACAGTACCAATTTTAGGTATCAAAATAGAACCAAATAACAATTTAGTACCTAAAATCGGTATTAAATTAATACCTTAAATTAATACCTTTCGTTTTACAGTGAGTAGAAGTTACTAATAATCAGTAAAATTTAACTAATTTTAAAGCAAAAAGTGAGTCACTAATTCAAATTACTAAACATTTTTACTAATTCAGATTTAGATAGTATGTTAAAAATTTAAATAGAAAAACAAACACTTATGCATTATAGAAAAAATTCTTCAGATGTTGAAAATTCCCTTTTGATTTGTAAAGCTAACGTCTATATTGGAGTATATAGATAAACGTATAATCTCGTTAATGGAACTATTGTGCATTACGACCTTCGCAGCTTAAGGTTATATAGACTGCATCTTTCATGAATTGAAATATTTTCAGAAAAAGAAAGACATTACGAAAAAAGAATATATAGTACAAAAAAAATACTTAATTTATCATATACATAAAAAAATATTAACCTTCTTCAGATAAAATTTTTTACATAGTGACCCCCAAAAAAAAAAAAAAAAATTGTAATCTGTAATTTAAAATTTTACTGATTTCTGAAAGAAAGATTCTGAAAGGAACATATTCTTTAGACCTATTTTAGAATATTTTATATACTTAAATTCAGTATGTAATATTCTTAAACTGAGAATATATTCTTTAGTACTTTGTATATATATTCTGTTGAGAAATACTAAATAAAGAATATATTTCAATTTCAAAAATCTACTGAATTTAAGTACATTGGAAAAAAATTTATTTGATTCAAATAATCGATTACTATTATCAAATAAAAATTTATTTGAACCAAATAATTTTGTATTTCAATTATAATTAAATTTGTTTCAAGTAAAGAAATTATTGCTGCCGTGCAAAACTGAAAGACCGTAACTTAATTTTTATTAGGTTATGTTGACAGTTAAATTTTCACTTCTATAAAAATAGAGATTAAAATTTCAATCAAATTTTGTTTTTTTTTTTTAAGGTAGAAATAATTATTTCTACCTGATATGGATTTCATAATTTTAATTTCTATATTCTTGCAAAAGGAAAAATGTAATGGTCAACATAACCTATTTGAAAAATGAAGTTACGGTTTTTCAATTTTGTACGGCAGATTGGTTTAAATAGAGTTTATTTAATTCAATTATTTGGTTATTCAAAAATTATTTGGTCCAAGTAAATATTTATTTGATAATAGTTAAGTAACCAATTATTTGAATTTTTTTTTTTTATAAAATATTTTAAAAATAGGTCTCTATATATAGTCTAAATTTTAGAATTTTTTTTTTCGGTATTGATTAGGTTCGGGATATTTATTATGGAAAAAAAATCTTTATCTAGAATAGCGATATGTTTCTCTAGATTAGCGAAAACTATCGCTGTTTTAGTGAAACATATCGCTGTTACAGTGAAACTTATTGCTGTTACAGTAAAACTTATTGTTGTTACAGTAAAACTTATCGCTGTCTTAGGTAAAAAAAAATTTTCGTTCTAGAACTTGAAAAAAAAAATTTCTTTTCTTAAACGAGGTTATTTGAAAATGTACCCATTGTCTTGATATTATTGAGCATAAAATTGTTGGCATATGTGCGGCATTTCTGATACCGTATATACGTATATATATAGTGAAAGACTAAATATCGTTGTTTGCACGAAGTTGTGCAGACAGTATGCATAGAAATGATCCATATATATATATATATACTATAGTTAGGAACGCGTGATTCAAATATGAAACAGCACTTGTGATCAAACTTGTGCGTAAATTATTCTCTTCCCCTCTTGCCTAGAATTATGTGCTTATATCAGCCATATCAGCCAATATAGATCCGCCCATTAACCTAACTTGGAAATTACTGGATCATAGATTTGTTAACTCTCTCCATTCTAGACGCATAATTGCATTATTAACTTCCTTTTAGAATTTTCTAATATTTCTTTATTGGAAAAAATTATTTTTTTCTAAATTTCATTTTGTACACTATGGGAAAAATTCTATTTTCTTTCTAAATCCCAAAAATCTTAAAATTTTAAAGAAAAATGAAAAGTTGTTGAATAAAGATTTTTGTGGTTGCAATCAGAATTAAAAAATTCAAAATGACGGATTAAAAATGGCAGATAAAAAAAATTTATTTGATTCAAATAATCGATTACTTGACTATTATATCAAATAAATATTTACTTGAACCAAATAATTATATTATTTAAGAAGTTATATTCATTAAAATTATTAAAAAATTATTATTATTATTATTATTAATTATTATTATTTATTTATTAGATTTATTGATTTCATATGTATGACCTTTCGGCCTTTTACATTTCCCATACATATTTTTGCAGAATATTTGCAAATTAATTAATTATTATTATTATTATTATTATTAAAAATTATTATTTATTATTAAAAATTATTTGGTCCAAATAAATATTTATTTGAGGTAATTATTAATTATTATTATTTCAAGTAACCTTTGAATGAATTAAATTTTTTTCATCTATTTATCCAAATAATTTTTCTGATTGTTTACAGTAAAAA